AAAAATATTGAAAAACAAAAAAAGTTGAAAAAGTGTACATTTTGAATTCACTTCCTGTAGCAACCGGAAGTACTTACGACGCAAACGAAGTCAAAATTGCACATCTATAACTCATGGTCTATCATCTCTAACAAGTCTCCAGTTAATATCTTTAGCCGTTTTCGAGAACACTCGAAGACAAAATTGCATTTTAAAATCAGGAAATTGCCCATAACTTGGCATTGGTACCGAATTTTCCAACAAACGGAATTTTATATAAAATTCATATAATGACCTATAATTCCTGAAATTTTCATTGAAATCCACCGAATAGTTTACGAGAAATCGCTTGCACAAAATTTTGTCTAAAAAAAAAGAATAATAATAAGAAACAATAGAATCACTATAAGGTCTTCCGTGAAGACGGAAGACCTTAATAATAATAATAAGAAACAATAGAATCACTATAAGGTCTTCCGTGAAGACGGAAGACCTTAATAATAAGAAACAATACAATCACTATAAGGTCTTCCGTGAAGACGGAAGACCTTAATAACTAGAGCCGAGCTCGTTGCAAAGCAACGAGTAGGTCTTCCGTTGTAGGTGTGGACTAAAGTAGAAACCTTAAGTCAAGGTCATGTCACTTAATAAGGTTATAAACATTTTGTATAGCGTATCAACAGACAATGTATCTATATTTAAAAATAGTCAGGGAATGGACGTGAATGTGAACTTGCCCATATGACTTAGCATTTACTTGTCCATGACACACTCTGCTTATCAACAAACCCCATCCTTGTAATTACAGATTTAACAAGTTAAGGGATGTTCTTTGAAAGTTTCAAACCATACATCTAGCTTATACCTTTAATCCTTAGTGAGCTTGAACTTGAGTCAGTTTTTGCATGTTTTAGTAAGGTTTTACTAGTTCTGTAAAGAGGATTAATTTCACGGATTGAAAATGTTTTTCTCTATGGACATCGCGACGCCCATTGGTTTGTTCAATTTGCGGTGTCTACATTAAAAGTTGTCTCCTTTGTCTTTATCCGTGTAATTCATAGTGTAGGTAAAAGAAAGAAGATGGGCGCATTTGGCGGGTGATCTGCAGGAATCATTTGTACGAAACATTTATGGTTTAAATGTCCATGATTTGGTTGGCTGAACATACCTGGTCAGATTTTACAAACACGTTCATGGTTTTTTTTTCCATTTAGTTTGAAAGACATTGTGAAATTGTAACATTTATGTCCATTTTTTTTCTAGGGGGTACTATAACATAGTAATATTTCACAAAAAATAAAACCTAAAATATATTTAATGCATAGATGCATGATACGTGTACATGTACATTATAAAATAGAAGATTAGAATTGATTTCGCTTGAGAACCAAACTGAACCAAAATTTATCTAATTCAAAATTTTAATACATCAGTACATAAAACGAAACTGACAAATTAAATGGTTGCTTGCCTGAATAAAAAAAAATTAACGCCCCATGCCAGGCTCGAACCAAAAACTTTTCGCTTCGAGTGCACTGAACAGGTAGCCTAACTTTCAGAGCTATCACCGCTACACATGTACTTGTATGTCTTTAAAAGGACAAAGACGCTCCACATTGACACATTTGGATTTTTTTGGGAAAAGTTCATTTTTCGTGGTCTCTGGGTCTTCTCTCCATTTTTTAAAAAAGTGTAATCGTTTCTTTGAATTAAAATACACACAAATAACGTTTCAAAATCATGGAGAGAAGACCCAGACATAGAAAATTTTTTAGAAAAATGTGTTTCAAAATGTACAATTTTGTACCAAATGTCTGATATGGCCAATTTTCAAGTTATTTTTTTTAGCAAATCAAAGCTCAATTTCGGGAAAATATTTTCCGTTCCTGTTGCACAGGAATTCGATAAATTATAAAAATGTTAAAATTTCATGTGACATGTCAATAAAATTTTTACTTTTCAATTACGGCCAGGTTCCTGCCGAATGCCAATCAAAAGCGCCCTCGTTCTTATTCAGTGTGATGCATTCGTTTAATGAATAGCAGAGTAGGTTTATATGAAATATTATATTTATTTGTTAATTGACCATTAATCAAAATAAGTGCCGTTATTTAAAGTCTTTTACTATAGTCGACGTTGAATGGCTTTCATCTATGCTTTTACTATGAGTGCATCCATGTACACCCCCAGATCTCTCAGAAGATATCACTCATCGCAGCGAAAATTACCGGACGCGGTAATAAATGTCTTACAATGATTGTCGATTGATGCTATTATATACTCCCATATTTTCAGTTATTCTTTAGTTATTATATAGTTATTAAAATAATATTTTTATAACCAAAAACTGTATCAGTTAATAAAAACTAATCGCATGATAATATAATATTATGCAACAAACCTCCAGAAGATCGATTGTCCCTCCGATGTTGTTTTTAAGGTAAGATACACATGTAAAAACTACAGTTATGCACTGGTTATCAAAACAATTTAAAGCCATGTGTTTTGATTATGTGGCATTGGCTATATTCATTCATTCATTCATTTATTTTCTCAAAAACCATGTATATTGTACAACAGGTACATATATACATATTTGATATAATTTTGGACGAACAAAAAATTACATGAGGACAGACGGTGTAAAAATTTTGGAGATAAATATCCACAATGTTCGTTAGAATGCTGGATCAGTACTTGCATCAATTTCAGAATTTTATAATATTTGGATGTATATATAGTATTTCTTAAATAAAAAATCTTCTCAAATACTAATTTAAAATTCATTACATTCCAGTAAATAATGAAATTTATCTCCTATTTGATTATATTAACATAAATTGTACACTCTTTCTTTTCTTTGAACATTATTCCATCTACCTTTCTCTATTGAAAGACGATGGTTACTTGTTCTGAATTTTGAAAAGATATTTCTAAATGTTCTTGGTAAAATGTTTAAATATTTTTCACATTCAAACTTTTGTTTTAAACATTCTTCATTCATATCACTATACCATTTCTGTTAAAACTGGTGTTAGGGTTTTTGATTCATTGCAACAATTTATTTAGCCTATGAAAATTGTGCTTAGTCCAAATATTACACAGCCCCGTTGTATTAGGAATTTTCTGTATGAAAGATAAGCATGGATTACTATTCCCATTTTTTGTGTATTAATTACACAATTTTGGTTTTATTAACATTAACATGGAGTTTCCATGTTTTGCAATATATTGAAAATTCAATAATTGATGTTGAGAAACATTTGCAATTTCAGACAAAATAACCGTATCATTGGCATAAAATAATATGAACTGTTTCATAAAAATGGTATGATCATGTTCGATCTCTTTAGAAGAATTATCATAGGCGTTAACTTTCTTTTTGTGAGAAAATTTTCTTAGTCATTGATGTACAATGAAAATAAAAAAGGTCTTGAAGATTTTCACCTTGTCTTACCCTGATATTGTAGTTGAAAAATTCATAGAACACATCTTTTATATAAAATAATTATTTTAAAAAATCAGTATAAATTACATTTTAATCCCTGGACAGTTTTTAAAGGTTGATATGCTTGTTAAAAGTAATGTTCAATAATATGAGAACATAAGATGTGGGTGTGTGGAGGACCCTTAAAACACACTGCGGATTTTTGACATTACATAATTCCAATGCTCTTTTCCAGCCCATTTTCCAAATTCATTTCATCCCCAATGTCTTTTTCGATTTCATAAAGTTAAGATTTATATAGCGGTCTATACTAGTACTAAAATCGTACATTAGTACACACCATAAACTTCACACTCGATTGATCTTTTGTTAGTTACTTGAAACACATTGAGATATCGTTACACTGTTGAATGACATGGGGTTGTGTGCACCAGAATATGTTACAAAAATATAGAACATTTAATTTGCTTTACAAAATTAAATTTTATAAATATATATACTATATATCACATGATCAAAAGATATGTTTGTGCATGTAAGAGCATCTGTATATTTGACACTCCCATATCAACCATTAATAAAAAAGAATGTCGTGACACAAAAATCTACTAATTTGTAACCACAATATTGCTTGTTACATTTTGACTGTTCTGACCAGTGGTATACTTAAAGTTTCTAATAAATGAACATCTGTATTTATATATACATTGATTACCATGTTTACAGTTTTGGATGGTTGATTTGCATTAAAAATCGTCATTTATAACATAGTCTATTAATTTTCTATTATACTGGCAATAAAGTTATAAACAAACATAATTAATATTTTAAGTTGTTTCATGCAACACTTATTCTATTCTTTAAAAAAAAATCAGGAGATAGATATTTGCTGTTTTCGGGTGGTATATACTTATCCATTTTTAACAAAAAACCGTATGTACAATCTGTTTTCTTTACATTTATATATTTTACATATGTGTCCTTATCTAGAACATGTAAAAGTACTATACCGATGATCATGTTTAAGTCAATTAAGTTCTGTCTTTAAGAAAAGTGGTATCTGCATGGTTAATCGAAACCATTTGAACCCATGTATTATGATTGATGAGACATGTAGCGTTGACTATAAAGATTCCTTTTTAACAACACATGCGGGTTATTAGTTGTTTAATGGAGTAAAGTTTAATGATAAAAATAATCAATTGAATGACAAGTACTACTCGTAAATTCTGAAGGACTATGTATCGTATGTACATATATACAAATCTTTGTGTATCCTCAAATTTCAAAACAAAATATTTCGATAATTGAAAACTTAATAACTGTTTCTTGAATTCAGAGATTTATTCATACTGTGAATATAACTAATATTATCATCACAAGTTATTTTTCTCCAATACAGTACAGTATAAAGACAGTAACTAATTTCTAGTTTCTCTGTCGACGTCATTGTCCTTGAATTTGCTTAAATAATCTTGCATCAAGGCCAAAATGCACATTGGTTATTAGTAACCCCAGGGGGTTTACAATTCTAATAAAAGAGAACATATTCAGGTAGCCCTCATACATTAATTCATGAATTTTCTGTTACGATTGTTATGATGAGGGCATCGTGGTAACTGTAATATGTTGGCAGCCTCTGCACTTCAACTTGAATGCCTTCAGATGCATAGACATGATCGAGAATGGTACTGTTTTCTGTTGTGTAGAAATTGACAAATTGCCTGAAACCTTGTTTCATCATGAAGCTCTGAATAGGACCTGCAGATTTTGCATCTTCATTGAAATCTCCAACAAAAATTATATGTTTGTTGCATAATTTATAATATTCTATTAGCTTATGGAGCCGTTCCAGAAAGTAAGAGACGTTGAGAGTACTTGGGCGATACAAAGTAATAACAACCATATCTCTTTCGACTAAAGTTACTGCCATACCCTCTACATTCTTTTCTGGCAGTTGACTGACAATTTTCCTATTCGGACTTTGATTGATGTATAGTGCCACACCTCCTCCTTTTGCATCACGGAGTTTTTGTACTTGTTCATTGCTCTCATCATATGCATCTCTTCTAGATGTATGATACAAGGAAAATCCATCCATATCAAATTGTGCTAAGCTTTGATCAGATCTTAACCATGTTTCAGTCAGGCATACGAATTGTGCTCCTCTGAAACGAAAGTCGTTCTGCAAATCTGCAAAATGGCCATTTAAACTTTGGACATTATGAAGAATAATGCTATTCGAGTGCAATAGTTTCGTGGAAAATTTTGTAAGCTGTACTCTGGCCATTTCAGCTAAGGCAATTTTCACTTCTGAATCAGCATACACTTTTTTCTGCAAGGCTTCAGCGTTATCGGTTTCAATAAATAATCCATTTTTCGATGTTACTCTTGTCAGAGCAACATATGCTTGTCCTGGTGAAAACATTCGGTCTAAATTGACCACCACCTTTTCAACTGTCATTCCCTGAACCTTATGAGCTGTACATGCCCAGGATAGCCTTAAGGGGAACTGATGTCTCACAACTGTCTTTAATTTCTTTTCAATAATCTCTTCCTGAACTCTGTGAACCAAGACGCTTCCTTTCTGTATTCTTTTACCAGATTTCTTACCAACATTCTTGTTGTCAAATTTTACTCCTATCGCTGTAATATTGGTTGAGTTTTGGTCATACACAAAGTGAGTTATGTATCCCATTACTCCATTCACCAGCCCATCTTCTACATCACAATTTCTTGTTAACATCACCCTTGCATTCACAGCCATAAGCAGAGTACTGCTAAGATTATCTGTTTTTAAGCTTCTAAGCGGTTTCTCTCTTAAAACCAGTTTTCCGCTTGTTGCATTTTTTTGGAAATCCTTTGCTTCAATCTCTTTTAGATCTTTGCAGCTTTTCTTCAACATTGAGAGGTTATAATTATTTACTTCATCATTTGTTGGGTACACATGTAGAGCATCTTCTGGTCCCTCTCTTATACAATCATGTATGAGAGCTTGTGCTTCACTTGTTAAAGGCTGGTCTGCTTCACGAATCCGAAGAGAGTTCAAAGCGTTCGCAAAGGGTATATCTTCCCGCTGCCTCATTATTTCATTCAGTTCAACAACCTTGAAAAAGTCCCTCCAATAGTCAACAGGATATGAGGTATTTTCTTTAAATAGCCGTTCATCTTTCCGTTGTTTTACGGGTGGAAGCTGATAAAAGTCACCCAGGGCAATAATGCTTACACCGCCAAATGGCTCTTTGCATTTCTTTATTTGGACCAGTCTTTCATGAATGTAATAAAGAAGTCTCTTGTAAACCATTGAAACTTCATCTATTACGAGAATCTGCAAGTCTCTCAGATGCATCCTTATTTCACTTAGACTCTGTTCTTTCAGAGGTTGGTATGGTAGTGGCAAATATTTAGTCAGGGAAAACACATGATGAATGGTGTTTCCACCTATGTTGAATGCAGCTGTTCCTGTGAAAGCTGTTAGGAGCACTGATACACTATCAGGTGAAGACAATGTCCGAGAAAATATTCGAGATGCCTCATATTCTATAGCCTTGATGACATGGCTCTTTCCTGTTCCTGCTCCTCCAGTTATGAAAATATGCACCGGATCTGGCTTGTCCCCAGCAACTTTGCTTAAGCACCAGTCGCGTATGTGGTAAAATATCTCCTTCTGAGTTTCATTTAGACTTTGCAGGATTGGTAAAATATCATTCTTAGAATGCTTATTTTGTTGAATTTGAAAGAGCGCATCATGATTTGTCTGAGTCTGTATATCAGGAATTGCTTCTGGAAGATGTTCGTCCACGGTGTTCACTTTATTTTTTTCTATAGTATTTTCCTGTCTTAATGCTTCTGACTCTGGACAGAGAGTTGCCCAAGCATCTTCAGGTTCTCCGATGTTTTCGAACATCTCTTGAGCTTCCGTGATTACATCTTCATTCCTTGCATATTGTGCATGGTGCAAGTCAACTATTGATTTGACAGACTGGACATTTCTTTTTCCTTTGATTCTAACGTGACCGTTTTCATAAAATGACTCATATAATTCAAATCCAGGGGGTTTTAATTGTGCCTCATTCCAATGTGGAAGAAAGAGCTGTAATAGAGACCGATAATATTTTTCAGGCATTTTTTCAGCATTGAACCTCGGATACCTTATAACAGCTGGTTTTGTCCGTGTCCTTTTTTGAATATATCCTTTTGAATTTTGCAATTCGAACACATTTTCATTTTGAGTTTTGGGAACCTGAGACTTAGCTAACACCCTGTAAACAGAACAGAATTCTGCTAAGCACATGTCATGAAAAAGTGGTTTGTTTGGCCGGTTTTCGTATCTCTCTATAATATTTGTCATCCAAATCTCGTTTTCATCGTCATCTTCATCATTTTCCTTTTCGACCCCTTTTTGTCTTTTTATTTGAGAGAGTGGTTTACTTAGACGGGTCGGATTTTCACCTACTGGTACAAACACAACTTTCCTTGAGCATTCTTTCATCTTTAAGGTTATTCACTCCTCAGCTTTTTAGAAAAGTTCACGCAGAAGCTTCGTTTTCTATTTCTTTTGGTGGAAGGATATTTAGCAGAAAATTCTGCAAATCTGCACATTTATAAAATTTAATGTAATGGAGATTTAGCCTCAAATACTTTTACTTAGAGAATATTCTCCGTTTTGATATTGCTAAAAATATTTAATATAGGACTTTATTTATATTTTTTGACTAGTCTTTTTATTTTTCTTTCATTATTTTAAACTACTCGAGAGAGTGGTTTTTTAATACCCCAAATATGTTATTTTTATAGTAGTTAATTTACGCGCATTAATTTGCAAGATTTTTTTAATGTTAAATATTATTCAAACTATTTTACAAAAAATAAGATTTTCACCTACTGGTACAAACACAACTTTCCTTGAGCACTCTTTCATCTTTAAATTGCACACTCGATACACAGCTTCCTGTGCACTGACTTCTCTATGGTGTAAATAAGCTGTCCCAATTTTCTTTAAAGTATTACGGGCATCAAGATTTCCCTCCTCTGCCTCTATCTTCGTTTGCTTCAGTAACATCCCCATTTCTCTTTCAGACTTTGAAATGTAAGAAATAATGTAAACAATGCAACTAAATGGATCTAAAACAAATTGAATGTCCATGTTTGCATCCCAACATTTTAAAAGGCAAGGATTGTACTGATTGATCCAAAGTTCACATGGATTTCTTTTAAGAACGATAGATCTTTTTTTCGTTAGCAGCCTATGGGCTTCTTCGTACTGTTCCTGAGACAAAGACAAGCTGCTGAAAATTTCTTCTGAACTTTTACTTTCATTTGATTCGTTTTGCACTTCTTCCCAGACACGCAGTAAAATATCCTTTGCATACGATTTCCTTGATTTAGTATCTTCGTTATTTTCCATGTCGCCTTCTTCACAAGGTGAATTTATAAATGTACTTTGGGAGGGGGGTCGAGGAAAATTAAATCTGCAATCTGTTCCTTTTTTTCTACAAGATTTTGAATGTTTTCGGCTGTGCTGTTGAACTGCCAAGACAATATTCCTCAACTCTGGATCCTCGAATTCAGATGGTACTACACAAGATACATATTTGTCAATGAAATCACATACAGCTTGTTGCCCATGCTCGTCAAGTTTAGGTGCATTTTCAACCCAATACAAACAATGCATGTGGGGTGATCCTCTCTGCTGGAATTCTACTCTCTGAAAAAAATCTATTATTTTTCCAATCGGCTCAGCTGGAGAGAATATAACATCTCTTTGAAAGACGTGGAACCTATGTTCAAACATCCTAGCAACTGTCACAGGATTCTTCCTTAAAACCTCATTTTTTTCTGACCAGTCCAACATTTCTGGATCTCTGTTATCATTTTGTTGTCTTAATATCGTTTTAACTGCGTCATTCCATCTATGTTCCGCAGCGGAGAAGGAGCAAAACCAGGTTGGAATTCCTAACTGTCGGAGCATTGCAAAGAGATCTTTTTGAGCTGATGACCAGAATGCTGGCGTTCCCCTTATCGGCTGCATAAACCTTAATGCCTCATCATTTCGTAGCAACCTTGAAAGAGTTTCTGGATCTTGTACCATGCTCGAAGTAACTAAATTCCCATTTGACATTTTTGAGACAGATTTTCGAACTGAAATTTGTGTTTTTTCAATGACCTGATTCAATTCTGACATAAACTGACTGAAGAATATGTAATTGCTATCTTTTGCGAATCTACCATCCGCATGCATTAACCTGTTATTGAAATATCTAGACAGTGTTATTCTTATATCTCTGTCCTCATTCCAAGTAAATTTTCCACTAGGGAAATGACAGGGAAACGCTTTAGCCTCATTTCCTGGTTCCTGTAACATCCGCACAGGATTTTGTCCTTCTCCAGGCGCAATGTTGTAAATATCATCAAAATAATGGTCCAAAACCTCCTGGGCAATATCCACGGGCTGCAGACAAGTATCAATTGCTATTTGTTGGTGTTCATCATTATCATCAATGGTTTTGTCATTTATTTCTTCTGCTGTATTTTCCTCATCAGTGTCAACATTCCAGCTTCTATTTAGTTTTACATTTTCGTACCAGTGATTATTTTGCTTTAAAAAACAAAGAGCTGCAAATATGTGGCTTGGATTTACAAACTGGTACTCAAAGTATCCTTTGTAGCTAAGCTTTCTTTTCAGTTTAACCCTTAATAATAAATCCTCATCATGATTCAGTGGTAAACTGGTTGTTTTTTTCAAGTCTGAAGGTACACACACCACTGGTCCATGTATATTTCTTTGACCTCCTTGGGGAAGTGCCATGACCTTCATAAATGGAATGTGCAGAGCAATTAAATGCTGTTCTAGACTATTCATATTGGCCAGTTCCTGTGGTATATCCTCAAGATACATCTCATTTACTGCTGCCTCTGCTGGAATATTACCACTCATAATCTTTCTATGACATGTATAACATATCCACAAATTTGACCTGGTACAACCTTCTGGACAGGATTCTGTGCACTCATGCAAATATTTCTCTTGTACACACAAACTCGAAACTTGTTTTGAGCCTTCATTCTTACTATACAGTTGCTCATCACACTTTTGTACCTGATTATCAAATAACAATCGATGACAGCAGCAGCATACATAGTCGATGCCTCTTCGAGTATTTTCTTTAAATAATTCGAAGACTGTTTCTTCATTTTCGAACTTTTTCTGTTTTGCTTTTCTGTGTTGTTTGACCGACCTTTTCTTCGATTGTTTTGCTTCAGAACTCAAGTGATAGCGTTTCTTAACTCCTGCCTTAATTTTTGACCTAAAACTGTTATCTGTGCTGTACTTTTTCGCTTTAGATGTCAGAATGTTTTCTCTGAATATCTTATTTGCACTATATCTCTGTGTATAACAAACTTTTCTCTTATATTCCTCATCAGTTTTATACCTTTCCTTACTTCTCTTCTTCAGCTTTTCTCTGTAGAGTTCATCATCTTTGTATTTTTCTTTCCCTTTTCTCTTCTTCTCTTCCCTGTGTACACTGTCAGTTCTGTATTTTCTCGAGTTTTTTTGCTTCAAATTTTCTTTATGGGTAGGATCAGTCTTGTACTTTTGTATGCTCCTAAATTTTACATCTTCTTGGTGTGCTTTGTTCAAAGCATACTTTTTAATACTTGCATCTTTTGATTTCTTTCTACTCTCTTCATTTCCAGCATATCTGGCTTTGCTTTGCAACTTTGTTTTGCTACGGTGAAATGCATCATTTTCATATCTCTCCTGATTTCTAGCTTTGACAGTAGATTTAAATTCATCATCTTCCTTATATTTGATGTATGCAGTTAACAATTTCTTGTTTCGAAATTCAGCATCTTCTTGATACTTTCTTCTCATTGATTGTTTTCGCTTTTCCACTGGATTTGGTTTATTCATTTCTGAGGAAATTTGTCTCTTTGCTTGCATTCTCCCACGATTTCGTTCTTTTTTAATTGAATATTTTGGAGCAACTGCTCTTCTCTCAAACAATCTTTCACTTCTCATCTCTACATTTTTATCACAAACATCAAGTACTACATTGTAATGATTCTGTGCTTCATGATTTAAGTAAATTGCTCCAGTTTTCTTTGTCATGGATGAGTTCTTTCCCTTTAGTGAAAATTTCAACCAATGATTTCTGGTATATGTGTAAATATCAATATTCATCAAATGGCATACTGCTATGATTTCTAATTCTGTTGCCCACTTTCCATTTTGTGACATTGAAGACAATGCTAGATGTTCCATAACAGTACTTTCACCAGTTCTCAAAAATGGTTTGAACACACCTTCATTTTCAATCATGTGCTGACAAACAGCACTGCGAATGACATAATGGTAGTCCTCTGAATTTGTCAGATTATAGGAAACAGCTCTAAAAAAGCAATTGCCATCACCAAATATCTCCTTTTGAGAAATCGGTTTCTCAAGGTCCTTTTGAATTGCATGATTCTCAACTCCAAATTCATTGCACATGAAAGGAATATTTAACCCTTGACATAATTCTCTTTTCATGTCTGAGTCAAGAGGAACAAAATAGAACTGTTCATGCTCACTAGAAACAAAATTCAAATCCTCATCTCCACTTTCTGAATCAACGTCAATTTCTTGTGATGTGCTTGAAGTTTCAACAATTTCTTCAACAAAACTACCAGCATGCTCTTGTGATTTTTGCACATGAAATCTAACATCCAAAATATTACTCATTTTACAATGTACCCCAGTAATATTGCATTCAACATCTTTTGAATACCCCATAGAAACAGCCAAAGACTGAATATGAAGAGAGATGTCTGATTTATCTTGGAAAAGAATTCTTGTGCTTTTCCCACTCACACTTAACAAGCCTTTTGAACATCTAGAATGAGAGTCAAATGTGAAAAACCCATCTCCTGATTTGCCAATCAATAATGTATTTCCACCAAAGCATACAAAACATCCATCAGTTTTTGTTAAAGCAATCTGCAATGCTTCATCTAGAGAATATGCACCAAACTCTTCAAAGTTTAATCTATCGTCTGATAAAATCACACTCGATAATGTCTCATTTGCTCTAAATTCATAAGATCGATCAAAGCATTCAAAGACCTCAGGTAATTCCTCTACAAGGAGATACCTATTATTTATAAATGAGCTTCTTTGCAAGAAAGTGTACAATTCGTCACCAGTCACTAAAATTTTGTTCATATCCATTGTATTCCAGTGCTTACTGTTTTTGACTTTGTGATAAGATAGCCCTGCTAAACAGTTGGCAACACACTGAGTTCCAGCAGTTTCTTGAAACATTAGATCTCCCTGGTGAAAAGAACCCTGGACATACACCGAACAGTTATTCTCTTGACTTTCATGTGTACTCTTAATGTTCTCATTCTCACATGCATTTTCAGAATTCTTGTTCTCCCTCCTTTCACAAATATCCTCAAAATTCATTCTCTCTTTATTCTCATACATATGTACGTCTTCGTTTTCTTGTTTTTTGCATACATTGTCTATGTTCTTCTGTTTCTTATTTTCAATTTCTTGATTCACATTGTAACTGTTTTGATTTCCATTTGAGACACGTAAAAATACTGTTTGAGTACTGTCTTTATATCCCTCATCTTTTTTTAGTGTACTGCTGATATCCTCCATCCCAGAGGATTCCAGCTGCGCCTGACCTGCTGGGCTAGGCTTAAAGCCATCATCATGCCCAGGTACCCTCGCTGGAGTACAAACCCACGCTGGGGAGTCAGGGGACGGTGCCAATGCCCCGTTTTGGGCATGCAGACGACTTCCCCGAGGAGATGACAACCTCGGGGCATTTGAGTGCATTTTCACTCGAGGTGAGGCCTGCACCCTGGCCAGGGGTTTTTCCTCAAAAGGCGGCAACCCCATGGAGCCTTGCCCTGGAAAATTACCAGGAGGAGCTGTGGCAGCTCCAACAACTGTCCCGCAAGGAACAGCAGGCTTAATGTTCTGCTCATCTGGTGGTTTTGTGGACTGAGACTGCACAAGTCTCTTCTGCCTCTTTCGTTCTCTGTCTTTTTCTCTTTGATTTCTGTTATTAATTCTCTTTCTTTTCCTCATCTACAAAATACAATTTAATTGATTTGTAATACATGTAATTTGTTTTGTGGCTTAAGCAATAACAAGAAATCTGTAAGCCAATGCTTACTAGGAATACCCCTGCTCTAATGTTAATAAACACTATCATGTTAAAATACAGGGGTTCAATGATATGCCTACCCACGACACGATACGTATCAATATATTCAGTTCATGGTACGATACGTATCATGATACACGACATATTCGGTTAAAAAGTCAGACGTTTGTCATCATATACCTTAAACTCAAAAGTTTTATCAAATGCTCATTACACTATTAGAAAAGTGATAATATCCTTCGACCCGTTAAATATGAGGCTGAAAACAAGTTTATTTGCCTTTTCTGCAGTTTTATTGACCTCATGTTTTGTGCGGAAACCATTTTGAAATTGTAAATGACAAACCAAAATGGATGATTCGGATAATTATGTACTGATTGAACCAAAGCGTGATATCAGTTTCAGGTATCGTGAACCGAACCCTGGAAAAATAAACCGCAGTATACCGTCAAACGGTTTATCGTTGCACTCTTATTAAAATACACAAGTTCAATTACGAGAGATGAACCAAAAAAGTATGAAATTGACATCAGATTCATATCAAATTATTCCTACCATATGGATGCCTCAACATAGATTGTATGAAATTTCATGCATCTGCTATCATAACTTGATGAGAAATTTGCACCGAAAATCTGTAATGTATGAAACAGACCGACGCACAGACAAACAGGAAGTTGACAATGGATTTGACCACAAATTTATCCCCCTGTATAGCATGCATAAGAGAAGATTGTGTTTAAATTTCAAGCATCTGAGATGAGTACCGGTAGTTGCTGAGAAAACTGTTACGAAAAAGTGTTATGTATGAAACAGAGAGACACACAGACAAACAGAAAGGTGACATTGGATCCGACAAAAAATGTATCCCACCATAAGGCATGTCTTAGGGAAGATTGTGTTAAAATTTTGCGCATCTGCGATGAGTACTTACCGAGAAAACTGTTACGAAAAAGTGTTATGTATGACATGGACAGACACACAGACAAACAAGAAGTCGACATTGGATCTGACCTAAAGTAGATCCCACCATATGGCATGCCTCAGAGAAGATTGTGCTAAAATTTCAAGCATCTGTGATGAGTGGTTACTGAGAAAGCCATTAACCATAACTTTCATGAGATGCTATAATTGCATATAAACAGCACTCAAATTTAGTGAATTTTCCTATTTTATTTTTATGTAAGACTTTGATTCCCCATTGTGGTCTTGCCGAACCCCCAGGGGTCAAGATTTGAACAATTTAGAATCTACACTACACAAGGATGCTTCCGCATAAGATTCAGCATTTTTAAACAGGTTTTTATTTTTCCTAATAGCAATTTTACATCAGAATGCTTTGCTATAAATATGATTATCCATGAATTTGATGTTCTTGAGAAAGATACTTTTATCGAAAGTTTTTCCTGAATAGACATTTATTTGTATTAAAATTGATTAACCTTTGGGGTCTCACCCAGTCTAAAGGAAAAATGCATAGAACTAGTTTTAACTGTAAAGAGGACCGTTACAGATGTTCCCTAAATGCTCCCCGACTACCTTTTTGTGCAATTTTCCTACAACACTTCTTTAATATATGCTCATAAAAGAATTATAAAAGCTACAATGATATAAACTACATGTCATTTAACATGTTGCATGCATACGCACGTGCATACAATTGCAACATGATCTTGGCATTTTATTAATCCATTAAGTTTATAATAACATTATCTTTATATCGTTAGAATTAATAATAAAAATCATAGAAATATATTGATCAATTTACATATTGCAGGTGCATGTATGTCCTTGCATTCAATTTTGAAATTATTTAAACAGGAATCCATTATGTCTATTCATATTTAAATTTCATCCTTTTTTGCAGAGAACCAAGTAAGTTATGGGCAGCTAAGGCATTTTAAGTTTCAGCCAATCAGATTGTAGCACACGTACATAGACGATTTCATGATATTTCTAATATATCATGCAATCAATCTTCATAATGTCTGACTGCGTTCAAAATTTCAAAAGATTTTGTCAAGAAAACAAGAAAGATATAAAGACTTTAGTTCTGCACAGAAAAAGTTGTTTTCCCCATATCTCTATTTAAATTTTGATCTCTAATTTGGCCCAACCCTGGTCACCTGATACATTTATGTATCACAATTTGAAAAAAAAATTAAATGTACAATGTTTTGAGATGCTTTCATATATGACTTACCACAGTTATTTATTATATATGCTGTTTTTATGAAATAGTATATAAATATTGCATGTAGGTGAGTGTAACATTGAAAATTTTTACCCCAAGAAAACCATTGTCAACCGAGGCGCAGCTGAGGTTGACAATGGTTTTCGAGGGGTGAAAATTTTTAATGTTACACTCAGCTACATGCAATATTTATTATATTATACTGAATGTTTTATACAAATACATATTACAGTAAACTGTGCGCGCATAACTTCTGTGCAGTCGCTATTTTTTGTAATAAATGTACCACCCGTCGTCAAGCAATGTTGACTGTTGCCACGCAGGAGGGCATGGCTTTATTATTCAGCAGGTAGTAGTGTTTTTTATCAAATGTTTCTCGACGAATCAGATTCAAGTAATTTACATGAAAGTATAATATTATAAAATATTTCTTAAATTAAATTACCAAGTACTCCTTTGTAAAACTATTGTTCCTTATTCTGAGCTCAACTTAATACTTGGGACATAAAATTTAAAACAAATGTGAATCTTTAATTACCATGTTTTCTATTTGTGGATGCTTACATATTAATATGACCAATCATGCTATTACTTCTTTCCTCCTCTGTGGTCTTACACTACCCCCAGAGGGCCATAATTTGAAATAAAACTTTGAATTTTATTGAGCCAATCCTGATCTGATTTTCTCCCATTGGAATGAGGCATTGTCCATCATTTGTAGAAATTTTAATATAAGTACCTCAAGAAAGAATACTTTGCGACAAGTTTTATATATTGCTCCAGTTGTTCTTGAGAGAAATTAAAAATAATAGATGTTTAAGCGCAATGCACACCCACAAAACAATAGACAATCAGAAGTCTCGGATGACACTGTAGCTCTACTGGTCTGTACGTGTAACAAAGGAAAGGCAGAACTTAGATTTCAAAATTTGCAACAGGCAGCAATAAATGGAATTGTGTGTCTTAGTGTAGTCTACTTGTGTGTCAAGTTATATTGAAATAAAACCAAAACTGTAGGAGGAGCAGCAATTAAAGGAATTGCACAAAACTCCTATTTTAAGTAACCATGGTAACACCTTTCATTGAAATGAAGAACTGATGCACAAATATATGTGTTTAAATGTAGTTTACTTGTGTGCCAAGTTATATTGAAATCACACTAAAACTGTAGGAGGAGTAGTGTTTGATGGGATTTTCACAGAAAATTCTATTTTAGAGCTAATTGCAAAAAGGCTAACGGATTGCGCTGTTTGTGACGTGCTAACACTTCGCTTGTCGAGAGGTTTAAATACTATGTCACATTCTTGCCACATCAAAGGAAGTAGCCGAGATCGCTTCTCTCCCACGCTAAAGTCGGTCAGCTGCAATACACAGCGCCGACGTTAAACGGTTTAAAAAGGGGGACAGGCAGCACAAATCTTATTAAACAGTTGAAAAAGAGCATTATAAGGCATTTTTTAGAGTCCATGATAAATTGAAGGTGATAATTTTATTTTTTTTATAGCATTTGTTTACATTCAGCTGCGGTACCAGATTAATTCTGATTCAGACAAAATAAGACCATGGTGTTAGGATTGAAGAACTCACTGTCAGTGTCTTATCATTTATATTGATAGTTTTAAAATATTTTTTTCATCAGAATATGAACGTGATTCAAGTAAGAAAAAGAAATCCATTCTACTCTGTAAATGAGCCCGGCTCTCTGTACTTCTGAGTACTTTGATTGTAGAAATGGCTACAAAGAGTGGAAAATACCCCTTCTTCTGTTGGTAAATTGAGTTTCTTGTAATTCATTTTCACTGGAAGTAAAAATCAGACTTGCCTCCAGCATTTTATATGTACTAGTGATGACTACTAATTGATCTATGTGACAAACTTTCACAAAATTTTTGTATTGCACTTGTGCCAATGTGATTTTTTGTTCAACATCTAAGAATATCATAAATGCCTGAAACATGATCAAGAGTAGTGTTGAATAATGGGGAAAATTTCATAATCGATAATCAGTCAAAATCGGAGAAGCTTAATCGATCAATCATCAACCTAATGGTAATTCAAATTTCAGATACAAAATTCTATTTCTTTACAGCATTTATCATTTATGGAACAAACTAAAATTAAAATGTTATCAAGTCTATTCTGAAGACAACTTTTTTGTTGTATAAGTAACAAAGAAACAGATTTTTTTTTTTTACATATTTGCTCATGTTCTCAATGTTTTTCTCTTGCTTCAAATTTACCTGCCATGTTTACATTTGGAACTCTCTAGATTGTCCGTAGTAAATACACTGTGTATGATTTATAGCCCGTATTTCTTTTGCTACATTACGAATACACGGAACGAATTCCAAGTCCGTAGGAAAATATCACTTTAACGATAGAATGTTCTATGGATTCCCTGGATAATGGGTAAATTTCTACTTGATAGATGCTAACTTTGCCTTCAGATGCCATTTTTGAATTTTTTGTTGACCTTCTTTTGTTTTACATGTATTGTTAATGTGTATGTATTAGTTTTGTTCAAATCATACAACTTTATTTGGGCGAGTTTATCTGGACGACAAACGATTATGAAAAATGTAATCGATAATCGGAATCGAACACCCAAAAACGATCGACAATCGATCGTCGGCGACAATCGTTTTATCACTAATCAAGAGTCAAAAGATATCACAAAAATGTCTAATCATAATACATGATTAAACTGTAATCATAGGTTGACATCAA